ATGATGAGGGGACTGGAGCATCTCTCCTATGAGGAAAGGCTGAGGGAGCTGGGCTTGTTCAGCCTGAAGAAGAGAAGGCTGTGAGGGGACCTAATATATGCTTATAAATATCTGAAGGGTGGGTGTCAGGAGGATGGGGCCAAACTCTTTTCAGTGGTGCCCAGCGACAGGACAAGGGGCAATGGGCACAAACTGAAGCAGAGGAAGTTCCGTCTGAACATGAGGAAGAACTTCTTCACTGTGAGGGTGACGGAGCCCTGGAACAGGCTACCCAGGGAGGGGGTGGAGTCTCCTTCTCTGGAGATATTCAAGATTCACCTGGACAAGATCCTGTGCAGCCTACTGTAGGTGACCCTGCTTCGGCAGGAGGGTTGGACTAGATGACCCACAGAGGTCCCTTCCAACCCCCTACCATTCTGTGATTCTGTGAAGAGTAGTGGCCAGGAAGACCATGAGACACACCTGATAACTGCAAGATGCTAATTTACATTGGAAGGCATGACTTTGAAGACCACAGTTGTTGCCAGTTTTGGTTCTTAAAGCAGCACACAGGGAATACGATATCCTCTGCCCAACGCACTGCCATCTTCCTAAGTTATATGCCTATGTTACGACAGGTAAATATCCAATAATCTTAATCATCTGTGTTTTCTGGGGCCTGAATTAACATTATGTCCAGTATATGACATCTCAACTTATTTGAGAGGGAAAGAAAAAAACCAACTCACAGACAAAACCAGAGAGTCTAAAGTCCTGAGAGAGTCAATCTTTATGATTCAGCTTTAATTCCAGGCTCTTCAGGGCACCATATGAATCTGACCATTTCTTTAATGGGCCCATCATAAAATCAGAAAATGATTGCTAGCTTCCCCATCAAATTCCAAATCTGTCAACTACATTCGCCTACCTAAGTTTCTCTAGCTATTTCCTCTGGATGTGGCACTGTCTTTTCTTCTGGCCCTAACCACATCATATTGGCTGAGCAGCTGCCACATTTCAGTGATGGCTAAAGGGCTACCCATTTCGACAAACAAAAAAACAAAGCCCATACAAAGTCTGGAGATTATTCATATGAAGTTATCATTTATCTAATGTTACCATACTGCAGTACTGCACTGAAATAACTAGAAATATACTGCTTGTGTTATCTGACACATCTTCTCTCAGAGGTAAGTCAAAATCACTTCAGAAAAAGGCACCAAGAAAAATAGCTGAGGAAAAAAACAAAAAAAATCAAACAAAGAAAAGGATATAACCATCAGGTCTGAAGAACTGTTACTAGAACAGGGGAGAATGGGTACAACCATGTAATTTGGCTCAGGCAGATTTCAAGAGGAAACTAATTTTAAAAACAAAACCAAAAAGCGAATCAAGAATTGAACAGGAATCTACAGCAAAGTGTTGAAATATCAGCCAGAATACATGGGGAGGGGGTAAGAACGTAGAGAGTATTCATTTATTTTTCTAAAAGGATATGATACAGTGGAAAGACATCTTTTTTCTTCAGTGATACTGTCAGATAGAACTCAAACCTTCCTGGCTTTTAGCCACGGATTCAGACACTGATCCTCACTGGGCTTTGGCTCCCAAGCTCTGGTAGTGCAGGCCACCATCACCTGATGAGACAGAGCAAAGAACAGGCAGTGTGCCCAATTCTGAGAAACTAGTTCACTGCGCAGTGTATCAAAAGCCATTCCTTTCAGTTTACTTCAATATGCCAGCAAAATAGCTTGCTACTGAAAAACAGACACATCTTGCTTCCCGCTCCCCTCCCCTCCTGGCTATGTAGTCCCAGCTGTCTCCTTTAATTTCCTCTGATGCTCGTCAGATCTGTGTCAGGAGACAATTCAAACTCAGGAACTTTGCAGTACTCCTCTTCTTCTCCCTCCCTGTGAGTTCTTCAATAACCTGGCAGAAAACTGTTAGCTCACAGAGCGGTCCAGAAAGCACTGTAGCTGTCAAAAGGCAAGAACAAGTGGCAGTGGATGGGGTGAAAGGGGCAACACCCCCCATTTTGGCAATAACGTACTTCCCACCTGACATACCGCACCTTATGGAACGCGCGGCAGGCCCGACTGCGCTGCCCACCCAGGCAGCCATCTTCAGGCACAAGTGACAAGAAACAAACACCAAACCAGCACGGTACGCTTCGCACGCGCCGTTCCGTTCCTGATCCAGAGAGGGAGGCTGCCGCCAGCAGCAGCGTGGGCACAGCGTAACCGTGAGCAACGAAGTGGCGTTCTCTGCTGAATCTGGTGGCACTGAACCCAGTGATTCGGTCACGTAAAGCTGCGGTTAACCATTCATCTGCTGCGCTAGCATGCGTGTTTGCACTAACACACCGACTCCTGATACAGAAGCAGGAATATACAGGGGAAAAAAAAAGACGTTTTACAGTACTTTTTCTTCTAAAAATCACATACATGCTTACTTTTGACCTTGTAACCAATAAGGGCACAGATAAAAGCAAGCAAAGCCAATTCCTCTTAAAACGTCTGACCTTTTTTTCATCATACTAACACAAGGTAATGGCAAGGATTCTTTAGAGCACAGTAATTTAAAAGACGTTTTGAACACCTTCAGCAATACGAACAGCAGGCAGTAAAAATGAGGTGCAGCGATGGGGAAAGCAGCAGGCAAACAAGCTGCAGCTCTACCTGCGTGTCAAACCAGGCGCTTTAGGCAAGGGAAGAAGACAACGTTAGAAGCTCGCTGCTAAGTGCGGGGGTCGGGGAAGGAGGAATCGTCCAGCCGAAACGACGCCGCTGCATTCAGTTAATTGTTTTCCTC